ATGAGTAAGTGAATATAATGTGTCAGACTGGTGAGACTGGTTGGGTGGATAGATTTTATGAAACCGTGTTTTGGAAAAATTAAAAAGATTAATACTCATTGATGGAAAGTGTTGGGGAAAGAGGGCTCACAATCACTCTTGACAGGTGGGTAAGTTGGTGCGTCTATGGAGGGCGATTTGCAGCATCTATGAAAATGTGAAATCTTCACACCCTGAACACCTAGGAATTTATCCTGCAGAAACACACAAATGCTCACACAGGCTCCAGGGTGCTCAGTATAGTATTGTTTACAACACTGGGAAATTAGCAACCACTCAAATACCGACGATAGGGATGATGGAAGATATGGGGTGTCTTCAGCATCCATTAAAATCCGGTGAAGGGAGGTCACTGGAAACGCTTTGGAACCCAAGCCACCCCCTACCCCCAGCTGGAGAAAAATGGTGACACTGAAGAATTGCGCCCTGCCTAATCCAAGCAGGTCATAAAGATGTGGACCCTGCCCTGGCTGGTGTGGCTCAGTTGGTTAAACATTGTTCAGTGCACCAAAGGTGGCAAGTTCAATCCCCAGTCAGGGCATGTGCAGGAGGCAACCAACCAATGTTTCTCACATGGATGTTTCTCTCTCTCCCCTTCCTCTCTCTAAAGTCAATAATTTTTTAAAAGTTTAATTTAAAAAACAAAGGACACGGACCCTTATGGAATAGAGACCAGCCTCAGAGGTGTAAGAGACATTGCTGGAGAGCTTGGGGTAAGGGGTCAGCCCCCCCACACACCCACCCAGGAGCTGGGGAGGGTGAACAGAGAGGGTCTCTACCTAGCTGGTCATCAGGCATTCTCAGGAGCCTGTTCATGACCTTGAGCTGGACTTCGGGCCGGCTGGAGAAATTCTGCATGACCTCTGCAGGAAATAGGACAGCGTGCTGGGGGCGCCTGCCTGTACATCCACCCAACCTCGGCCAGGTCAGGGACTCTTCTGGGGGCCAGGGCAGCTGGGCCTGGCTGCGGGCACCACCTCACAGGTCCACGTGATCAGGCTAGAGGCAGTGCTCTTATCCCCACTTTCCAGGCCCAGCCCAGCAACCTGTCCAGAGTTGAACCTGAGCGTGCCTCACTCTGGCTGGATGTGGCCAGAGCCCTACACCCTGCCCAGGGCTCCTTCTACTGCTCCTGAGGGGAGGGGTGGGCAGCAGGCTTCCCTGCCTTTGATTCATAACCAAGAGCTCCCAGCCCCAGAAACAAGCCTCAGTCTCTAGAAGCAGAGCCCTCCACCCCAACTGTCTGAGTGAGTGTCTCACAGCAGCCCTGCTTTACGTGAGGAAACAGAGGCTCAAGGCCACTCAGTGGGTGATGGGCTCTACTGGACCCCTTGTCTGCCTCCAAAGCCCATGACCATGAGACATGGGGAACCTGAGCAGCTAGTGCCCCGTGGGCACCCCTTCCCACCTTTAAACCCTCTACACCCTGTCCCCAGAAATGGACAGAGGTGGCAGAGAGGGTGTGGGGGTCTCTTGTCACAGGCAGTGCTGCAGGGAACCACAAAGAGGGCGGAGGGAGTAAGCAGCCCCCTCCCCCCCACACACATCAGGAACACACAGAGCTAGGAGAGTGGAGCTACCCTGGAACTTGAAATGACCTCTAGACCTCCGGGTAGCCATCAGGTGTCAGTCACTGTGCTGGGAGCCCCAAGGTGCCCCAGCCTGGGACACGAGGTAGAGACTAGTACAGGTGCCTAGGGCGCTGTGTGCTGGGCAAGCACTGAGCCAGGTGACTGGAGGCACCCTGACTGAGTCCTGAGTGTCAAGTTGCAGAGGGAGCCCCCTGTGCTCCCTCTCCCTGCAGGGGTGAGCCTGCTGGCCCAGGGCTCTGGTCACGCAGCAACCCCACAGGAAGTGCTGCTGAGTGGGGAAGACACTGGGCACTGGAGCTACACTGGGCACTGGAGCTACTGGAGCCACTGGGGTGTGGATTCCAGGGGTGGGGGTGAGGGGGCCGGTCAGCTCTATGGAGGACTCCGCAGCAGGGAGAGGGGAAACGGGGGTGCAGTGGGCCATGGAGATGAGCTCTGCTATAGGTAATGGAAGCTGGGGGGTGCCTGAGCCGGCAGCACCCGGAGCAAAGCAGCTTGCGATGGATGGAGGGGCGGCCCGGGAGCCTTCCTACCCGCTGGCCACGCCAGAGGAGCAGTCCAGGGGGCCGGGTTGTGGGGGAGGCACTGACCCTCGGGAGCTAAGACACAGTGGCCCCGTGGTGCCCTCCCCCTCTGGGTCCCCGTCATCACCTAAAATGCTGGGCACATGGCCTTCCAAAAGTATGTCAGAGATGAATGCAGGCACCTCCCGCCGGTGCAGCATCATGGAGACACTCAGGCACCTGAAGTTGCTGTTCATGAAGGTGAGTTGGATGATGTCCCTGGAGAGAGCGACAGAGCCAGAGCCGTGAGCTCGCCCTCCAGGGGGACGGACAGGCCCCCGTGGGCAGACGCTGGCCCCACTTCCGGTTTGGACTCGGTTTGGCAGCACCTCTCGTCCTGTCACAGGCGTGTCCAGCTGGCACCCCAGCAGCCCCACCCCCAGGGGAGACAGGCTCACGCTGGGCAGACGGAGGAGGGTGCCGAGCCCTGGCGCTTTCGCCTGCATGGGCCCTTACTCCATAAAAATATACAAAAATCAGATTTTACAACTGTGGTGGTGTAATGGCAAGTGGAACTGAGGCTGGATCCGTTATTATAGATTCACTTGTTGCTTCTGGTTTTAAAATAAACTAGAATGAGTCCATTTTCCTGGCCCTGTCGTCTCCCATGCTCAGGACGTGCGCTCAAGGCCGCTGTTTGGAACAGCCAAGCCCAGAGATAGCAACGGTCCGTCAGGCAGCGGTGCACAGGCGAGGCAGGGGCTGCGGCCTTCAAACGCCAGGGGGTGTAGACAGTAAAGTGGAGAAACGTTGAGAGAGAAACTGGAAACTTTCAGGCAGCTCCAGACCCTGAGCTCACCTGACTGTGATTCGCTCCGAGGGGTTGATCTGCAGCATCTGGGGCAAAAGGGAACTGAAGGTCTTGGCGTGGGGGACCCGCCTCTCCTCCATGGTCCTTAGGACACAGTTCAGGCTGTCCGGGAGGGTCCGGATGGACTTTCGAAGCAACATGGCTTCTGTGGCCTGAGGAAATGGGGACACCACTTCTCAAGTTTCAGAACCAAATGAAAATGGCCCAGCGGAACCAGGGGGAGCGAGAGGGGAGCAGGGTGGGAAGCCGCGGCAGCCACCTCCGGAGACCGCCTGAGCCCGAGTCCTAGAAGAAGCAGAGGTTCAGCCAGCAGCCAGCGGCCTCTCCCTGGGCAGAGGGAGTGGCCGTGTCCCTGGGGCAGGGGCCTCCAGCTGAGCTGAGCTGAGGCCCCACCCTGGAGAAGCATCAGGCCTGCCTGTGCGTGACAAACAGCCCCGTGTGCTCAGGCCCACACAGTACAGTTCCTGCTGCTTGCAGCTCAGTGTTCCTTAAACAGCCAGCGCGCAGCCCAAATCCCACGGAGTGCACCTAAAGTCAGTTTTCTCACCCCTAAGGGGTGAGGAGAACACCTGGGTGGCGGCTGCGAGGGGCAGACGCCTGCACGGGTTTGAATACTGCCACCACGGTCATCATTACCCACGGCCAGGTGCTGAGTGCACGGGGTGGGGGTCCTCCCAGCCGGGGCAGGGGGCTATGCACGGACCTCCCACACAAGCACAGAGCAAGCGCAGGAGGCAGCAATGGAAGAGTGGGCCCCTTTGTGGGTGAGATGAGCAGGACCGGCTCCATGTGCTGCTGGCCGGCCATGGCAAGTGGGGCTTGTGGGTGGCAAGGAGCGGTGGGCAGGAGGCAGCTCACCTCCATGAAGGAGCAGCTGACCATGTCAAGAATGATGCAGCCCAGGGACCAGATGTCGGATTTCTGGCTGAAGGAGAAGTGGAGGGCTTCGGGTGCCATCCAGGACTTCTGGAAGGGGTCTGTTGGGCAGAAGGGGAGGTGTATGAGTCCTGTGCTCCCTGGGGAAGAAGCAACTTGACAAACGAGCCCTTCATCACCCTGCTCTGGGGAGGTAGGGACAGGCTGTCTGTAGGGGGGAAGGGAGAGGATCCTGCCTCTTGATCTTCAGTGAGGCTGCCCATCTAGGCAGGCGCCCACAGGCTGGCCCATTGTGGCTGCAGTAGTTGGAAGGCTAAAATCTGCACCCTCTTTAAACATCTTGTCCCTTTAAATATCAGGACCTTGAGGCAAAGTTCCAGTTGTTCCCCCACTTCTAAACCTGAACCCTAGGCAAGGAGCCCGCTGAGCAGGGTCCTTAGTTGAGCTCTGTCAGGTCCTGATAGGCCTCAGGCAGTCCCTCCCTCTGTGGACCTCTATTCCCCAGCCAAACAGCAGAGGGGTCGACTCCAAGGACTCCTGCCAACTACACCTCCAGTAGATCCACCCTCCCACCTACCAGTCCATCCATCTATTCACTTGTCCATC